ATTTTTTCATTTGAACGCCCTAAAAAAGACATGCACGCCCCTGCAAAATAGAGTTATATTGGTTTTTTTTGCAAAAAAAAAAAAAAGATAAGGCGAAGAAGAAGCCACCCCTTAAAGGGGTGGCGTGAAATAATCTCGCTTCCCTTTAGAGGGAGGCGAGAAAACCTTCGCCGCATGGTGACGGTATGACGCCCTTCTAGACAATAATTTTGAAACAGAAGAAATAACTCCAATAATTAACGAATTCACCTCACATTTTATGAACTCAACAAATTGTGGTACTCACCTTCTTTAAATAGCCAATGCAAGAGTACGTATGCCGGTGGATTTAGTGTGGGGGTCATGGGGACTCAGCCCCCATTGGCTCCACCCTATCCTTATATATAATATACACATTTTATTTTAATATAATAAAAAATGCAATTATTAATTAATTTTTTAAGTGGATTGTTAAATGTAACTTAATTTTACTTCGCGAAGCTTGTAAAATAGACTAAAATACTCTGAATCAAAAACCTTCCCAAATTCTTTTTAAGATTATCTCTTTTTACAACTTCACACGTATTCTTTTAAGAGACAGTCAAAATTCACTAATTGTTGATGATTTTAATGTCAGAGAACCGAAAAACATGTGAAAGAAGAAAAAATGAAATGAATTTTAGGCGAATTTTTTACTTTTTTGTATAATCGGGTACCTTTGGGATTATGGACTCTGGTAGATTTTTTTTTTGTTATTTTTTTTTTGAGAAATGTTCTAGGATAAATTTTTTGTTTTAGTATCGGTGATCACCAATCGTTTTTTTTTTGTGTGTGTTTGTGAAATGGGTGATCATTTTTCCATTAATACGATCTTTTTTTCCCCTTCTTTTGTTTTTTTAGATGTGATCGGCAACTTTGATGTGATCAGATTTTTATCTAAGAAATTCTCATGGATGAATTTTTATTACAAGTGTGATTCCAGTTTTATTGTTCGGTTTAGAGCAATGAGACAACGAACTTAGAATTTCGAATATTGAAGTCTGAAAAAATAGTTATTATTAACTATAGCTTGATTTTATTTCGCGTAGCTTTATAGGAGTATTTTAGTCTATTTTACAAGTTGCGGGAAATAAAATCAAGCTACATTTAGCAATACTCTTTTTTAAATCATATCAATGATATTTTATGTTAATTTGGCCAGATATGTTTTTAATTTATCTTCACTTAATTGTATATTGGGTTGATTAAAATAGTTCACATTCGCGAAGAATTTGTATATGTGAGTGATACATTATTCAAAAAAAAAAATCCGATAAAGTAATTGAGCTATATATTGACGAATAAATTCATGTTTCAAAATTATCACATATGTTTAGAATACTAAACTCAGATCAGATTTTTCTTATTCCAGACTTTAAATACGTCCCGTGTTTGAAGGATAGATCATCATGGAAATTGTTTTTTGGTTTTTTGGTGTGCACACGTTTAAGCATTTTGTTGAAAATAGTTTATAAAACAAATGTTTGTTTTGATTTTATCTATTAATATAACAACTCTTGAAAAAGATTTTAGTTATGAACATAGCGACTTTTGTTTGTATAGTCGAATGCTTAACTCCTGAATAAACAAGATTCCGGTTTACTTTATAAGTTGAAAAGTAATGGTATAACAAGTGCATATAATATCTATAAAAAAATTTCAAAACTTCATGAAAATTGAAAAATTGTCGCAATCAACCATAATAAAATGATAGTTTATTTCTTCATGAATGTATTTATGCCCCAGTGTAAATTCATTCTAGATCTGCTATTAAGTACGTATCCTCCACTTTCATATGTCTAGATCCCCATTTCTATTCGCCATGGAAAACTCTTACTCGAGGAGCTAACTCTACAACTCCAAGATGTTCACCAACGGAGATGACAGCCCTAGTCACCGGGGGACACGTGGAACCGGACGTGCCATCGTCGAGGAACTAGCTCAACTCGGCGCAACAATTCACAGTCTCAAGAAAACAAGACGAAATCAACCAAAGCGTTCAAGAATGGACCTCAAAAGGGTACAAAGTAAGCGGTTCGGCGTGTGATGTATCTTCAAAGGAACAAAGAATCCAGCTCATGGCAAACTAGATTGAGCAATAGCCGAAATGCCATAGATAGATTAATAATTCATAACCATTTTGATTTTTTTTCCCTTTTTCCAAAATATCTCAATCCTCTATTACGATTTTCCCCCAAAATAACCAGATGTAATTTAACATCATCTAATGATTCAACAAAAAGAATGCTAATATGAACCCAAAAAAAAAGAATTTTACCTTAATCATTTACTTGGTTCACCCACCATGGATTAGATTCATTAATGTTCCCTTGTATCTAGAACAAAATTAATAAACTATAAGTGAGTTATTTAGTTTATAGAATCACTTTAGAGAGATTTACTATATACAAGCGACAAATAACATTAATGTTCTGGTGGAATCCAAAACATTAATTTCTGCTAGGAATGAGTTAAGTTCATAGATATCTCATGTTACAGACAAATGCAAATTAACCCCAAACTAGGTAGCTAGGACATAATTCCTTTGATTTTTTCTGTGTGAAGTAACAAAAGGCATTATGCTACTATAAACCAAATCGTTGCACAATCGTCGAAGTGTAAGATAATTAACATCAATGTTCTTAAAGAGTACTATTTAATTACTAGAACCAATAATTTTCAGTTTCGCATGGTATTCAAAATTGGCGAGCTAAATGTCGACAAGCAAATACCCAAGGGGAGGAAAATACCAATTTCCAATTTCCTCATGTAACATACACAAACGTGCTCCCACTCGGTCTGTGTGTAGTAATATTTTAATGAACAAATTCAAGAGGCGAAGTTGATATGGAAGTATCAAATTTTCGTGTTGATAACGATATTAATAAAACACTGTTTCCTCCACTTGGGTATTGTAAGGGACTACCCGTCCAGGCTAAGTCTGTAACCAATATATATATATATATATATATATATATATATATATATATAACACTTAATCATAAGATGGCTTCAAGCACTGGCTTATGCTTTAGGTCTAAGTTACGTTGGAAGACAATAATTCTCCCAACTAAAATAAAATAAATCCTCAGTTTCTTATATTTAAAAAAAATCACAAATAAATAAATCCTCTGCAACCTTAAACAAGAGCCTTGTTTAGTTGTTTACTGTAAAAAAAATTATCCATTAAAAATTTTCCTTTTATGCATTAATTAATGAAAGAATCGACAAATTAGTTTCAAACGTATACGCCTTGGTATATTGTCAACCCTACCTCTTCTATTTTGTCAAGTTAGTCCCAACCTAACATATGTTTAGTCAATTTACTCAAATTAATGGAATGTATCAATTTTTTTTAACGGATTTTTACCTTTTCCGTTAGTGCTTTTTTTTTTAATTCCATCTAAAAAAAATATATTTTAATTCCATCTCCGATGACTCCATTTTCGCTTCTTCCACCACCTCAACAATTTCTACCCTTTCTAATAATTTTTTTGATTGATGATGGAATTAATGTCAATGCAAATCATTTTAAAATTTATGGATAAAAAATTCTCAAGTCCACAAAGTTCTTCCTCTCTTGGCCGTATCTCAGGCCCCCAACTAAACTTCCCACTAACGCTGCCGCAATCACATTACACCCCAAAGGTTTCTTTGCAAGCACCTCCTCTGGCAACCAAATCAAACAAACTATTTCTTTCAAATTAACCCGAGAAAAGATGTGATCATTCAGATCGGTAAAGCATTGTATCAAAACCCATCTCTTTGAGATTGAGGCAGCGGAAGCACACATACAGAGATGATGGCAGAGAGGAAGGATGCGTTGTTGGTGTAGGGGATGGCGGTCGGCGGCGTGGGAATTGAAAATAGAAGAGCTGAAATATACTCAATTAAAAAAATAAAAAAAATCTTAATTACGGAAAACGTGAGGAGCCCGTAAATATTTTGACAAATCCAATTAAATTGATCGAATTGACTAAATGTAATATAGGTTGGCACTAAATTGACAAAATGGAATAAAATGACATTATATATAAGTTTAAGATACATGCGTTGGGGCTAATTTGTCGTTTCTTCTTTAATTAATTTTACGAGTGTCGGAAAGATTATTTGAGTGGGTGCTTTTGATTAAAAAATAATAACTTTTTTGTGCGATAAATTAATTAATTATTTTGCGTTGGTTGTACCAGAAAGGTTTCAGTGTGTGGTTTGGGGTTTTAAAATTTCAATAGTTGGCTTTTATTTTGCCTTTTGTATTTGTAAGTTTAAGCACGGTCGACTGGCCTTACTTTTCTGAGGATAATAATACTCCCTCCCTCCTATAATTATTGTCTAATTTGAGTTATCACTTTTTGTAAAATTTGTACTAGAAATGAAAACTTAAACTAACAATAATTTTATGACAGAGGGAGTAACTTTTTTTTTTTTGGTTGTATAATGAAAGATTCAAAGTCGTAAATATTCAATGATGGAGTTCTAACCACTATTTATTTCAAAGTCGTAAATATTCAATGATGGAGTTCTAACCACTATTTATTTATTTATTGGTACAATAAATGAGGCGAACTTCCTAACAGTCATTTAAAATAAAAAGAAAATGAAAATATAATAAAACTACACTAATGTCGGATCCAGTTAAATGCTGATTGACTAATTTCCTATCTATAGTGTTATAAAGAGAAATGCATTTAAAATATAGGATTATCAAACTCCCACGGCGAGCCCCTAAAGAAGATTGAATTTCCATGAAGGCAGATATTCAAAAAGGGTGACCACCGACCATTTTACAGTCAAAAGCACGAAACCTCTATTTGCGTATACTTATTTTATTTAAAATTTTATTTTGAAAAAATTACAAAAAAGCATTATGATAAAGATTTTTGGCTCCCAATGTGATTTCCATAAATAGCTAGCTGCAAGGCAGCAAGTGTTCATCTGTATCATATCAAAAGTCCATTTCTTCTTCTCCTCTTAAGACTAAAATGGAATACTCTACAGGATCATCTTCATCTCGATGGTTACTCACCGGAATGACGGCCTTAGTCACCGGCGGGACACGCGGAATCGGCCGCGCGATCGTCGAGGAATTAGCCCAACTCGGCGCAACAATCCATACCATTTCAAGAAACCAAGACGAGCTAAACGATCGCATTCAAGAATGGACGTCAAAAGGGTTCAAAGTCAGCGGTTCAATATGCGATGCATCTTCAAGAGACCAAAGAATCCAACTCATTGAGAAAGTCTCGTCGATTTTCGACGGGAAACTCAACATCCTCGTAAACAATGTCGGAACCGGGATTTTCAAACCTGCGGAAGAGTTTACGTACGAAGAGTACACTAAAATCATGTCAACAAATCTTGATTCTTGCTTCCATCTTTCTCAACTCGCTTATCCTCTGTTAAAATCATCCGGGCTCGGAAACGTTGTGTTTAATTCTTCGGTTGCAGGGCTGACGAGTTTGCATCATTTGTCTGTTTACGGTGCGACTAAAGGTGCTATCAATCAGTTGACCAAGAACTTGGCTTGTGAATGGGCTAAAGACAATATCCGGGTCAATTGTGTGGCGCCTTGGTTTGTTAGGACATCTTTAGTGGAAGAGTATTTGAGTGATGAGTTTGTCGGGAAATTAGAATCAAGAACTCCGATGAGACGGCTTGGTCGGCCGGAGGAAGTCTCCGGGCTTGTTGCTTTCTTTTGCCTTCCGGCGGCTTCATATATTACGGGTCAAGTTATGGCTGTGGATGGAGGCATGACCGTTTATGGGCTCGACCTAAATCAATGAAATCTGCATCTGTATTGAATTCCTCCTACTTTCCTTTTTTGGGGAAAAATCAAATGGCTGCCACCGAGTCTTTTTCAAAGATATATGCTTTTTTGTTGTGTAGTTCATATTGGTAGAATTCATTTCCAGATTGGTGGCGTTGTTAAAGTTGGAACATTATCTTATGCGTGACAATTTGGCTTGTATTTCAATTTATGTAACATCTCACTCTTTTTCTTTTCACATTTTCAATAAAAGTATTTAGATGTCTTACGAAGAAAACTCGCATACTTAAGATGTTTATTTCGACTATTGGAATTGGGAAGTTTACATTAGGTTTTATCTGTAAAGGGCATGATCATTAAGTTGATTCCAGTCTAAATTTGTTTGTCATTTTTTCAATGATTTTTTTCAAAATAATATAATAATAGTTATCCCATCTTAGCTTACCTTTTATATTTTGAATACACTTTTTTACATTTCTTATAAAAAAAACACTTAAAAATACATATTAAAAAAACGATCCAAAACATATAATTGGCACAGTTCAAGTGTGGACAACTTATAATTCTAATAACACGCGTCGCCCACTGTGATTATAAAATAAAATTGGCAATAACTTGTGACTCTAATGCGAAAACAGAAAAAGAGGTAACTAGAATGATGAGGTGGGGATGCCTTGTTCAATGATTGTACTTACTAATTTGTGGCTCGTGAAATTTTCATTGTCAAATCATCATAAATAAAATTTCCATTTTCCTATCTATTTATCAGCATTCAAACATTTCATCGCACCCTGCCAAGAATCCGTCTAATTCAGGAAATCCATGGCAAACACTGGACCAACTAAACCTTCAAGATGGTCTCTTTCCGAACAAACAGCTCTTGTCACCGGAGGAACTCGCGGAATAGGCCGTGCAATCGTTGAAGAACTAGCTCAATTCGGCGCCAGAGTCCACACATTTTCAAGAACAGAGTCAGAACTCAAGGAAAGATTGCAAGAATGGAGTTCAAAGGGATACAGAGTAACGGGTTTTGTCTGTGATGCATCCTCAAGAGAGCAGAGGATTCAGCTCATGGAAAAAATCAATCAGATCTTCGACGGCAAACTCAACATCCTGATAAACAACGTCGGAACAACGTTGTGGAAACCAGCAGAAGAGTGTTCCCTCGAAGATTACAACACCATTATGTCCACAAACCTTGAATCCGCTTACCATTTCTCTCAATTGGCTTATCCTCTGCTCAAGGCATCTGGGTCGGGAAACGTGGTGTTCAATTCTTCGGTGGCGGGTTTTGTGAGCTTGAATCATTTGTCAATTTACTCTGTTACGAAAGGGGCGATGAATCAATTGACCAGGAATTTGGCTTGTGAATGGGCGAAAGATAATATCCGGGTCAACGGAGTTGCTCCTTGGTTTATCAAAACCACCATATCTAAAGAAACGGCCGATGATCCGGTGTTCTTGGAGAAATCGATTTCAAGAACTCCATTGAGACGCCATGGAGAACCTGAAGAAGTTTCATCTTTAGTAGCTTTCCTCTGTCTCCCAGCTGCTTCTTACATCACTGGCCAAATTATAGGTGTAGATGGAGGAATGATGGCCTATGGTTTCTAACAGGGGAAATTTTTTCTTTGGTTAGAGACTACTATCAAAATAATGACGACGTAAGCAGGTTTCCTTTTCGATTGCATGCTTTATTACTTTTCATAGAGCACCTCTTTTTGTAAGATATTAATATTAATATTATACTCGTACCTTGTATTTTTAATTAACTGTTTTTAGTTAAAATTATAAAATATGATATGGGGTAACTTTTTAGGACGTGGGGAATATTTTAGTTTAGTTATTCAATGAATAAACATGCCTTATGAAAAAATTTGTTTAGTAGTGAAAAAACAACTCATTATAATTGGAAACAAAACTAAGAAAACTTTTATTTTAGTTCGTTTAATTTCTATTTTTTTCTTTTTAGAGTCAAAACCTAATTTCTGAATAGTAATGATAGAGACAGTGACAAATAATAGTGAAATAAGATAATGATTAATGAAAAAACAAATACACCATTCTTACTAATTATAAAAGGGCCGTCTTCTAATGGATTTCATTATATATTTATTTTCATCTTTAATAGCATGTCACTTTAAATCATCTTACTTAAAAGGTTCCAAATTGTTGGTAAGTTATAAAATTTAGATGGTTATTGCTGCTATTTTAGCAATGTTTTGACAGCTCGTTGAACAAAAATAAAATAAGAGATAGCAGTAAATCTGATTCTGTCTTTATTTTCATCTTTCCATCTTCATTTTCGACAGCCCGTCAAACACACACACGTGAAAAAGGAACCAAATGCTACTTGTTCAAAAAGAATTTTTTCAAAAGTGTAATCTAATTAAGAATAGGCCGTCTTTTGGCGGGTCTTATTCCATCTTTATTTTCATCTTTAACAATATGTCATTATCTATCGTCTTGTTTAAAAAGTTCCAAATCTTTGGAAGGTTAAAACCCTACGATGGTTTTGGTTGCAATTATAGTTTTTTTTTTTTTGATAGCACGTTAAAGAAGAAAAGGAGGGAGAACTGGCGGATCTCATTCCGTCTTCATTTTCAACTTTCCATCTTTATTTTGTTGATAGCCCGTTAATCAAAAAAAAAAAAAAAAAGGCAAGCATTATTTGTTCAAAGAAAAATTCTTCAAAATTTTATCAAAACTATGAAAGGGCCGTATTTCAGCGGGTCACAGTCTATCTTCATTTTCATCTTTTACAATATGTCACTGTGTATAGTTCTGTTTAAAAGATTCTGAGTTTTTGGTAGGTTAAAAACCAACAACGGCTTTGACTGCAATTTTAGAAATTTTTGACACCCGTTGAACAACACATGCACACACACACACACACAAAATGGTAGATCTCATTCCATCTTCAATTTCATCTTTTCATCTTTATTTTGAACAGTCCGTTGAACCCAAAAAAAAAGGGAAAAAAAAGAAAGAAGAACCAAGTACTATTTACTTATCCAAATAGAAATTCTTCAAAAGTGTTATCTAATTAGTTATCCAAATATATTTTCAGGCTTTAGACACAGCGACATAGCACGACGGGTGTTTAGATATTAATTTTCGAAACTCATTTGTTTTCATCACCATATCCAAAAGAAAGTAAAATTATACCTTTGATCTAGCCCCGTCGAACACTATCACTAATCACCCCAAAATTTTAAATATTATGAAGTAAACTCATGCTACCTATATAAATTCATGCCGTGTTTATCAATCTCTTTATCAGCGATTTACAAAAAAAAATCAGGAAAAAATCAAATTTGGTTGTCTAAAATAAATATATGATTTGTGACAGCCCGTTATTGGGATACTAAGAGTTTAAAAGAATTTTGGCTTCTATATAGTTTAAGGGAATTAATTTTTAAAGATTTGAAAGATCAAATCAATTTCAAATCTAAGATTATTTTATTTTTAATGTGAATTATCCCCCTCCCCCCCTCCCCCAAACATTGTTATCTCATTTTAAATAATTTTCTTCATCATCCCACATTTTTCTTACATCCTTTCATCCATTCCAACTAAAGATCTTAAATTGTAAGAAAAAATAAAAAGTAACCCGTATGTAGCATGAATAATGTCTTTAGATAAACGAGAGAGTAAAATCAATATTTTTTCACCCCGAGAGAGATTTGTGGTAACTTTTATGTGGAAAGGAAATATATTTATAGTGGTTATGCTTTCGGCTTAAGGAGCATCCGTTGGGCCGAACCTTTTAATTAAGAGATTCTTTGTAATTGATTATATTAACATATTTTAAGTTGTGTTTATCCCTTATAAATGTGGAAGAATTGGTTTATTAATTTCAGTGAGAATAACAAGACGAATGTGGATGTGAATGTGAATACCTTAATTCTGTAAAAGGATAACAAAATAAAAAATAATGATAACGATATTAATCTAATTTAATATATACCTTATTCGACTTAATTATGTTCAATCATAATTATAGATTGTATAACATAGATTAAGTTTAAATTTTGAATTGATATTAATTTTGAAAATCTGAGATTATCTTGATATTGTTATCTTATTTTTAATAGAAAACTACTAACATAAAATTTAACTCAATACATGGTAAAGTTATAAATTAATGGTTTTACTAATATATTTTAATTGTTAATAAATGACCAATCATCAAGTGACACGTGTTAATGAATCAATTGGCATTGGATGACAGGTCATCACTTCATCTTCTTTCCTTTAATATATACTAGTGTTTACCCCGCACGTTGTGCGGATAGTTCAAGATATATATGATTTTAATGATTTAACGATTATATAACATTTCAAACTGTGATATGTAAAAAAAAAAAGAAAGTAATATTAATGATCCAAATTTCAATTGTGTGGAAACCAATGTCAATGTATTTTGTTATTTTAAGTGTATTTGGAATTATTTTCAGTATTCGAAATCATCCAGTGTAACTTATTTTCCATCTTTTTCGTTTTTTTGATTTATGGGTTTTATCTTTTGAATGTATTCTCTTAATTTTTTATAATGATCTAACTAACCTCTACTTTTGCAAAAAATTTTATCATTATTTCTTTCCATAAATTTATCTTTATTTACCATCTCTCTATTTATCTTTTCCAACTTTTGTTTAGAATTTTGTTTGTACATTTTTCCTATAATATAGTTTCCACATTTAAAAAAAAAAAAATTGATGACCTCTCCTTAAAGTTTCTTTTTTTGTTTAATCCTCCAATTGAAACCCACTTAAATGTATGCAAAAGTCCCTTACTAATCTCTTGGTGAGAATTGAACTCGGGTCAGCACCAAGACGCATATCATCTTCTTATCTCGATTTCTTTTCATATTTTCTTATTCTCTATATAATTTTTTCCTTTATATAATTATTTTTAATTTCTCAATATACTTTTCTTCTACTGTTTGCTTCTCATCGAGACCTTTATCCTTTTTTCATTTAGGAAAACTATCTCCCTATTGATCTCTATGTTTTGTTTATCATCACAACGCTAACTGTTTCTACCATTATATCATATGAAAAAATAATAAATCATCTAATTGATTTTTTATATTTGATGCAGATTATAAATATTCATCAAGGTTAGAAAATTAATGATCAATGCTTAAGTGAGAAACTAATAAAACTTTTGAAATACACAACTTAATTATTAGTCAATTAAAGAGGGACTTAAAATGAAGAAGTGAGAAACTAATCCATTCCAAGCACAACTTATTTCTAAACTAATGAACATAATAAAGTTTCAGTAGCTAAAACTCTAAACCAAACTTTAGCCATTAAACTTTTAAATAAATATACAAATTAAATCAATACCATAAGAATAAAACTTATACTTTGTTGTGCTACTGTTTCCACTTTCCACTTGATAGATGCGTAATGGATGTATTAACTAATCCAATATAATAGCATTGGCATGTTTTATGATGACATGCATTGGAGAAACCTCCGTCACTAACAATATATGACCGAATCCAGGTATAGTAAGGGCTCTTTGGTACAGGTGCATAATTTTAAGAAAGGGCAAAAATTAGGAAGTAATGCAAAACCAATATATAAAAAGTTTGAAATTTCATAAAATCATTGAGAAAGGTGGAAGATAAATAAATAAATCGCTATTATGCCCCATAAACAGTGCGAAAACACCCTTCATCAAGCATAGTCTTCTATTTTAAGTTTCGGTAGAGCAAAACTTTGAAAACTACTATTTAAATAAAAGAGAATCAAATATTAAGTAATTAAAGAGTAAAATATTTGAATTAAAATCAAGTAAAAATAGTTGAAGGATGACTTTTAGACAAGAAGACGACATTATATTTGTGGAGGTATAAATCATTTGAGGCAACACCATGAAAATATATTATTACCCTATAAATTTAGTTATTAGTTTTATTTACAAATTTACAATGTTATAATAAAAAATTACCATTAAATGATAGAGTGATATGCTTGTGACATGTGGACTTGGGTATCTAATTTTGCACCACGTAGATTAGCCTATCTAATATCGCGTTATAATAAAAAATTACCATTAAATGATGGAGTGATATGCTTGCGACATGTGGACTTGGGTATCTAATTTTGCGTCACGTAGATTAGCCTATTTAATATCGCACTATGTGGCTGATTGAAAACTCTCTTTTAATATATATAAAGATATAAGACTCCTCCGATCCTTATTATAAGGCATTTTGATTTGTTCCAAATTTCGCTTAATATATTTTTTTTAGAAAAAAAAACCTTAAATTTAAATTTTCACATTCATTATGTTTTCCTGATTAATAAGAAATATTTTTAAGATTTTTTTAATTAGAAACACATACTAAGTGAAACTTATGATAAATTAAAATGGCTTATTAGGACTTGAGGGAGTACACTGTGTGATGTATCGAGTTAAGCTTTTGGTGTAGCAACAAATAATGAAACACAAGTAATTTGTAGTGTATTGGAGTAGCAACCCGACAATATTCATAAAAAATCCTTCAATCCCTTAACAATTTCAAATTACTCCTCCTACAATAGCCTTTCTGGATACTTAATGACGCACGGATGGCGGAACAAGATCGTCTAATGGCAGATTAACCACAGTTTGAGATAGGCTCTCATGACCCTCAGGAATACATATTTTCTTATCTCCGCGACATTAATTGGTATAGATGTAGGATTTTCTAGACATAAATTCCGTTTCATAACTCTACTATAACTATGATAGCACGGACCCAACTTAATTAGTATACAGATGCTCTGCATAAGTTCATAATTCATTCCAACTTTTCAATTATAGAGTAGTGTTATAAGTTGTCTTTTTCAATAATGGTTGTGTGATATTGTCTACCATATAGATGACATGATACATTTAGTCAAGCATGTTGTGTATGTAATAGACAATTCGAAAGTCTTGAATCTTCCCTTCTTAGGAAGGCAATCAGTTATTGACATGTTAGGCACGTAATTTGTACTATGTTAGGCAAAATTTTTAAGCAAGTTGTAACTTTCATTTGGAGTCGTCCTATAAAAGAGGAGCCTGATGTATTGTTCCCTTGGAAAGGTTTGTAAAATAAAACTTTCTTATTCATATATCAAGCACTCTTAAAATTTTAACTGTTTTCTACATTTTCTCCATAAGTCTTTTACGTAAGTATCCGTTAATTCAATATTCTACTGCATGAAGTATGTTCTGTAGTTGTCTCTTTTAAAGGATCCTCTTCATCAGAAATTGCTGAAGATATTTGTGAATTGTATTTGCAGTATTAATCTTCTCTGTTTAATTATTGTATCACAGTAATTTCCGAAAACAAATATCCCCCCAAGGCAAGAAGTGTCTTTAAGAAATTCGTGGTATTTCTTCAACGAATGCTTCCAAGAATGGTAATCAACGGGATTTAATGTCACGGGTTTAACATGCGATGCAAGACTACGGAGAAATCAGATAATATATGGTAACACATAGATTTTTTAAAAAAAAAACTGATCGACCCTCGAACGAAGAATGATTGTCTAGCTTTATGGAAGCCACTTGCATCGCAATTGTTTGGTTAACGAGATGGAGGAACTAGATGCAGTGTACTCTTATGTATTACTACCTCCGTCCAAAAAAAATAGACCAAATTGAGTTTTGAGATTTGTACTAGTTTTAGTATAAATTTGAAAACTCAATGAGGACTATTTTGTATGACGGAAGGAGTATTAGCTTTGGTTTGTTTTTATTTGGACCTCATCTACTCGACAATAATACACCTCATCTATTGGAAACATGAATATGACATTTGATCCGCCCCTTTTCTGCGTTCTTTTCATCAGGTGTCATTTTCGACGATGCGATTTGTTCATCACGGGCGAAACTAACCGGCAAGATCAAACTATAAAACGGTCGGTGCGGAACCAATTTGAATATACAAATCGCGGGATACCAAATTATTTTGCTCATCCTCTGTTTTCTGACAGAGAAATTCATGGCGAAAAGTAACGGAGAAATCAGTTCAACTTCAAGATGGTCACTAGCCGGGAAGACAGCTCTGGTCACCGGCGGGAGCAGGGGAATCGGCCAAGCAATAGTGCAGGAATTAGCCCAACTCGGCGCCACCGTCCACACTTTTTCAAGAAACGAAGCAGCCATTAACGAAGCATTGCAAGAATGGAAATCAAAGGGATTCAAAGTCACCGGTTCAGTCTGCGATGCAGCTTTAAGAGATCAAAGAGTTGAACTCATGGAAAAGGTCAGTTCAATTTTTGACGGGAAGCTAGACATTTTGATCAACAATGCCGCAATTCTGGTGTGGAAGCCATTTGAAGAACATACTCCCGAAGATTATTCGACCCTTTTGTCCACAAATCTCGAATCTTGTTACCATTTTTCTCAACTCGCTTATCCTCTGCTCAAATCGTCGGAGAATGGAAGCATTGTCTTCAATTCCTCTGTTTCGAGCTTAACGAGTATTAGTTGTATCTCTGTATACGCAACAACAAAAGCGGCAATCAATCAGCTGACCCGGAACTTGGCTTGTGAATGGGCTAAAGATAACATCCGGGTTAATTCGGTTGCTCCTTGGTTCATCCGAACCGCCATGGTCGAAGACTATATCGATATCCCGGAGATGGCGAAGAACATTGAATTGAGAACTCCGATGAAACGGGTTGGTCGGCCGGAGGAGGTTTCGTCGTTGGTGGCATTTCTTTGTATGCCGGCAGCTTCTTATATCACCGGCCAGATTGTTGCTGTTGATGGAGGACTTTCAGTGAACGGGTTTTGAATTGAGAGATATATGGCAGGCAAGTATCCGTGCCAAGATGTAGTAGAATATTTGTTTCAATTTATTTTGTTTTCCTTTTCAATTAAGTGGGTGTATGTATCCAGCAAATTTGGTCTTTCCATTTGGCACATTGAATAATTTTGAGTTGTTTCGAAAAACCTTGTATGTTGGAGCATTGATCGATCTTTTCGACAGCCGATAGGCACTTTCATTGTATGGTTCAATCTTCATTTTCCGCAGCACTTTCCTTTTGATAATTCATTGTGTTGAGCTTTTCTTTTAAAAAATTTCTTTTGTGAAACTTTGGTTCACTCAATTGAAACAGTTGCAATATATTGGATACGAACTGTATGTGAGACCACAAGATGATATGGCAAGGCCATCCAACCAATTAAGTGATTAACCACGTTTGCTGATAGAATATATATAATCACGGAAACCCTAATTAGGGTTTCTAATATATTCGGCTAGGATTGTAACTTTATATACTATAAATATCATGATGTACAATGTAAATAATACACACAATTATTCTTTCATGGTAACACACACAATTATTCTTTCACTTACCAGAGAGCATCTTTAAAAGTTATGGAACTAGAGAAACCTTCCTAGCTTCTTGCTCATTGCGCCATTGTTCAAGATCCCTTTGTAGTCCAGTTATTAAGTATGCCTTAACCTCTTAAAGTTTTGAAGTCGAATAATTTCTAAAACTATAGAAGAAGAAGTCGTCAATTTTCTTTCTCTTCATTCTCTAAAACATTTCAGTGGAATTGCGGAAGACTAGAAGAGAAATTCTTACTTTTTCAGTCTCTTTATTTAGACTTTCTGTGTGTTATCCTTCTTCACTCGAGCATTGTACAAAATTCATTCCATGCAGACAAATACTCCGATTGTTTGCATTATACTCCTTCGGATCACGTTCGATGTTCTACAATAATTTAACAAAATAAACACTTATTTTGGACAGAGGGCAACCATATGTCACAAGATTTATTACAATATTTTTTTATTCGAACCTTATCTACTGGAAATATAAAACTGATATGTGATCCACTTATTTGATTCATCATCATTCATCACTGTGCCAAAGTAACCTGATCAAACTAAAATACAAATAGTTTGGGTTCAGAATTATTGTTCTGTAACTTATCTCTGGCAGAGGATTTCAATGGCTAAAGTTGGAGAAAGCAGTTCAAATTCAAGATGGTCACTAGCCGGAAAGACAGCTCTGGTCACCGGCTGGAGGAGGGGAATTGGCCGTGCGATAGTGGAGGAATTAGCCCAGCTCGGCGTCAAAGTCCACACCTTTTCAAGAAACGAAGCAGCCATAAACGAAGCATTGCAAGAATGGAAATCAAAGGGATTCAAAGTCACGGGTTGAGTCTGCGATGCAACTTCAAGAGACCAAAGAACCCAACTCATGGAAAAGGTCAGTTCCATTTTTGACGGGAAGCTAGACATTCTGATCAACAATGCCGCAATTCTGATGTGGAAGCCATTTGAAGAACATACTGTGGAAGATTATTTGACCCTTTTATCCACAAATCTCGAATCTTGTTACCATTTCTCTCAGCTCGCTCATCCTCTACTCAAGGCTTCAGGAAATGGAAGCATTGTATTCATTTCCTCTGTTTCGAGTTTGGTTAGTGTTAGTGGTGTCTCCGTTTACGCAACAACAAAAGCGGCAATCAATCAATTGACCCAAAATTTGGCTTGTGAATGGGCTAAAGATGGCATCCGGGTTAATTCAGTTGCTCCGTGGCTCATTAGAACTGCCATGGTGGAAGACTATATTGATCTCCCGGAGTCCGCGAAGAAGATTTAATCGAGAACTCCGATGAAACGGGTCGGAACACCGGAGGAAGTTTCGCCGTTGTTTGTATAAAAGACCATTGTTTGTATAAAACTGTCGTATAATCATATATATCACTCATCACAACACCAAAACAGTCTCATAGAAGTTGAATTTGGCCAAATCGATGTCAAAAATAAACTCAGCACGTCAAAATTAGGTGAGAAGAGTCACTTCAAAAATTTAATAAAGTGGCAGTCAACAGATTGACATTGATTGGTCAACTCTCCCACTAATGATGTGGTGCACACTCAGGAAACGCCTCAGTTTTGGCGTCGCAACACACTACTGTCACGGGCTTACTTTTTCAAAGTAACGGCCGTGCGGCACTAGCACCAAACAACTAACGATCAAGTGCTAGCTCAGCCTTAAGACCCCCAAAGCGTGCAAAGTTAGGCAAGACTTTAAAGAACGGAGGCAAAGAAAAACTTAAGAAAGGTTGAAAGTGAAAGAATGATGAAGGCACAAGAGAGCTTAAGGAATGCTTGAGAACTCTACTCAAAGTTTGGATGGATTACAAATGAAGGGGGCATGGGGTATTTATAGGCAAACCCCAAGTCCTAAAGAATTCTAGAGAATTCTATGTACATAATAAAATAATGGAATTCTAGAGAATTCCTACAATAAAATATTCTAAGTTCAAAATATCTACAAGTCTCTAGAATCTTCCACACGATTCTAGCAAATTCGGGTAGCTTCCACACGGTTCCACCCGTTTCTAGAGAGTTCCGGGCCTCTCTAGAAAATTCCAGAGCCTTCAAGATTTGACCGGAAAATTCTACAAGGCTCTAGACCGTTCCGTCCCATGTCCGTCTACGAAAATAGCCCGTTTCGCATCAAACCACCCGAATTTGTGGTGAAGAAAAACTGTCCATGACACTACCACGTGGCAACCACGAAACACTAAATACGACCAAACCTGGATGTAGCACTAGCACTCTCACTGTATGACACATGGCGTGTCACTCTTCTGCCACGTGGAACACGTGCCGAAACCATAGCAGCCACCTTGGTCATACAAATCGACGGTCCAGAACGCTCTAATTTTGAATTGAGATATCTCTTCATCCAACGGTCAGAATCGTCTCAAACTTCACTGCTTACACAAACCAAATGTGTAGATTTCAGATTTGGAGTCCGATCGGCCAACTCCGCTCCAGGGGTTAGAAATCAAGACAACGGCTAGAATTTTTTTCTCTTCAGATTCTCTTTCTACAACAGTCCGATTTCTCTCAAACTTGGGCTCTCACTGTTTTTTGCTACAACGAATCTGATCACAAACTGTGATCGCTGATTTGATAACTCTTTAATGCCAATCTCGAAATTAGCACTGCTTCACGCCTCAAAAATTGTCCCGGATCAACTTACAATTTTGATAACACTATTGGGGATTGAAACCCCTAATCATATATATTAAACACACACAACGAAAATTAAGAATAAAAATCACACAATTTAAGGTGGTTCGATCTCTCAATAGATCTACATCCACGAGGAAACAAACCACCAGTATTAAATTTGAAAAATGGAATAGTTTACAAGTGTAGAGTCTCTCTCGATGCACACTGTCTCTTGTTTTCAATTATATTTTTCCTCACATCTCTTCATAACTATTATATTGTGTTCTCCGATTAATTTTAGTACAAACATAATATACTAAAACCTTATTCACTAACTAGGCTAATAAAATATTACTCTTAACGGACTTTGGACTTTGAGAAGATAATCCTACACAAGTTTGATAGCTTTCCTTTGTCTCGGAGCTGCTTCCTACATTACTGGACAAGTTATTGCGGTGGGTGAGGAATCACTATAAATTGCCTCGAATAGGATTGATGTATTATGTCAGTCATCTCCTTGCACTTAATTTCTTGGTCTTAAATTGAGAAGGTGTAAAATCAACTAAGATAAAAGAAGTTCAATTTTAAATCATACGGAATCGATTTTTCTAATATCTTCACAAGTATAATGGATGACACTGACACTTGTGTAAAACTCAATGGAGCTCCCTAAGTTAATTTTGAAAGGGAGTACTAAAGATTGTCACGGCTTCCTATCGTGTAAGAGTCATGTAAGAGAAAGAAGGGAAGAATTCGCTTCTTGATTCTCATTATGACGACTTAAGTCATTAACGTTTCGATTTAGTACTTTGAAATCAGCTGTTTCAACTTCAGCCACTTGAGTAACTTGATATTCCTAGGTAGATGTCAGGATCAGTATCTTTGGGAAAAATCGTGAACCAGTGAAATTTGATCACTTAATAGATCACACTTTTTGTACACTTGTGAAGATAACAGCAGTAGCTAGGATACTCCACTAATTTATAAAACATAGAGCATACTATACTAAAGTGGCATTCTGGCAAAAGAAAAAGGTTTCAGCATTTGTTTTTATCCCTGGCTGCAAATTGCCTTAATTATATCATCAACGTGCAATGGAAACAAAAACAGCTACCGGTTCAAGATGGTCCCTTTCGGGGATGACAGCTCTAGTGACCGGAGGTACTCGCGGAATTGGACATGCAATCGTCGAGGAATTTGCTCAGCTTGGCGCGACGGTACACACCATAGCTAGGAATGAAGCAGCGCTGAATCATGTCTTGGAAGAATGGAAATCAAAGGGATTCAAAGTCAGTGGTTCAGTCTGTGACGCAGCATCAAGAGAGCAAAGAACCCAACTCATGGAGAAGGTCAGTTCCATTTTTCATGGGAAGCTAGACATCTTGATTAACAATGCCGCAATTTTGATGTGGAAGCCATTTGAAGAACATACTCCCGAAGATTACTCGACCCTTTTGTCAACAAATCTCGAATCTTGTTACCATTTTTCTCAACTCGCTTATCCAATGCTAAAATCGTCTGAGAATGGAAGCATTGTCTTCAATTCCTCGGTTTCGAGCTTAACGAGCATTAATGGTATCTCTGTATACGCGACAACAAAAGCGGCAATCAATCAGCTGACCCGGAATTTGGCTTGTGAATGGGCGAAAGATAACATCCGGGTCAATTCGGTTGCCCCTTGGTTCATCAGGACCGCCATGGTCGAAGATTATATCGATATCCAGGAGACCGCGAAGAACATTGAATTAAGAACTCCGATGAAACGCGTCGGTCGACCGGAGGAGGTTTCGTCGTTGGTGGCATTTCTTTGTATGCCAGCAGCTTCTTATATCACCGGCCAGGTTGTTGCTGTTGATGGAGGACTTTCAGTAAACGGGTTTTGAATGAGAGATTTATGGCGGTCAAGTTTCCGAGCCAAGACGTAGAATATTTATTTTCAATTTGTTTTTGTAACTTTTTATTTGAATTAATTATGTATCCGGCCAATTTTGGTCCTTCCATTTGCCGCAATGAATAATTTTTTAGTTGTCTGAATTAATCGGTATCTGGCTCGAATCCGGATGCAATGATTTTGGACACTGAATTCGTAATATATAAATTTTTTTAAAAAAAAAAAAACATTATATATTTGCAGTATTGACCGATCATTTTAAACGCCAATACACACTTTCATTCTCGGACAACAAATAATTCATTAAGTAATCGACAAATAAACAAATAAAATAATGAGGATGTAAGTAGGTTTCCCGCAAGATCATATATGCTTCAATCCTCATTTTTCACGGCACTTTTCTTTTGATAATTCATTGAGTCGAACTTTTCTTTAAAAAAATTTCTTTTGTGAAAGTGATGGAGTATTAAAATTTTGTTTCACTCAATAGAAACAATTGCAATATAATGGACACTAACTGTATGTGAGACCACAATTATAGATACCAACTCTTGGTTATCTCTTCTTTCATTAAATTAACCAGAGAGCATCTTTAAAAAGTCATAGAACTAGAGAAAACCTTCCAAGCTTATTGCTCATTACGCCGTTGTTCAAGATCTCTTTGTGGTCCAGTTATTACGGATACCTTAAAGTTTCGAAGTCAAATTATTGCTGGAACTAGAGAAGAAGAATTCTTCTATTTTCTTTCTCTTCATTCTCTAACCATTTAAGTGGAAATGCAGAAGACTAGAAGAGAAATTCTTACTTCTTGTTCTCTGAATTTAGACTTTCTGTGTGTTATCCTGGTTCACTCTAGCATTGTACGAAATTCATTCCATGCTGACAAACACTCCGAATATACTTTCCCCCTTCTCTTTATAAATCACAAAAGACTAAATTACTCTTAAACTTGTGCCTTAAAAAAAAGACGGTAAAAAACTATATGGATGGATCTTGTAAATTTGTTGTTTATCGAGCATGCTGATCAATTGTTTTTCTCTTTTAAGTTTTAACCAAGAATGCTTGTCCTCCTAGTAGATGAACAATGTCCGTATTATGACCCTTCGAATCATGTTCGATTTTCTAAAATAATGTAACAAAATAAACACTTACTTCAGACAGAGGGCAACCATATGTTACAAGATTTATTATATTATATTCGAACCTTATCTAATGAAAATATAAAACTGATATGTGATCCACTTACTTGATTCATCATCACTATGCCACAGCAACCTGATCAAACTATTAGTGATTGGTACTCCTCCAATACGTAAAATACAAAATAGTTTGGTTCAGAATTATTGTTGTTCTGTTACTTATCTGTAGTAGAGGATTTCAATGGCTAAAGTTGGAGAAAGCAATTCAAATTCAAGATGGTCACTCACCGGAAAGACAGCTCTGGTCACCGGCGGGAGCAGGGGAATTGGCCGTGCGATAGTGGAGGAATTAGCCCAACTCGACGCCAAAGTCCACACTTTTTCAAGAAACGAAGCAGCCATAAACGAAGCATTGGAGGAATGGAAATCAAAGGGATTCAAAGTCACGGGTTCAGTCTGCGATGCAGCTTCGAAAGATCAAAGAACCCAACTCATGGAAAAGGTCAGTTCAATTTTTGACGGGAAGTTAGACATTCTGATCAACAATGCCGCAATTCTGATGTGGAAGCCATTTGAAGAACATACTCCCGAAGATTATTCGACCCTTTTGTCCGCAAATCTCGAATCTTGTTACCATTTCTCTCAGCTCGCTTATCCTCTGCTCAAATCATCTGGGAATGGAAATATTGTCTTCATTTCCTCTGTTTCGAGTTTGGTTAGTGTTAGTGGTGTCTCCGTATACGCGACAACAAAAGCGGCAATCAATCAATTGACCCGAAATTTGGCTTGTGAATGGGCTAAAGATGGCATCCGTGTTAATTCAGTTGCTCCTTGGCTCATTAGAACTGCCATGGTGGAAGACATTATTGATCTCCCGGAGTCTGCGAAGAAGATTGAATCGAGAACTCCGATGAAACGAGTCGGAAATCCGGAGGAAGTTTCACCGTTGGTTGCATTTCTTTGTCTTCCGGGAGCTTCTTATATCACTGGCCAGGTTATTGCTATTGATGGAGGACTTTCAGTGAACGGGTATGATTGAGACTTGAGAGAGATGATGGCATTGGCGGCCAAGTTTTCGAGCCATAATGAAGAATTATTTGTTTCAAATGTATGACGATGTGTGGAGTGATAATAACATTTTTATTGTTTATTGGAATGTTAAACAATTTATTGATAATTTCATTCTTATTCTAATGCAAGTCTTGAATTATCGATCTAACAAATATATAGATTCTCCTCAAATTTCAACCTCAATAAAACGAGTGAGGATCACCTGTTTTATATATATGTGTGTGTGAGAGAAGAAAGCATTGAAACTTGGTTACAAAACATCCCTTAGGATAGGGATGATAAGTTCTTATCTATTGCTAAAAGATCTGCTACATTTGACGGAAATGTTGACAAAATCTATAATCCCGTCGGACAAGAAAAACCTAGTTAGCTAATGAATCCACCGCATCATTCGATATTCTTCTAATGAGGCTAAAATTCAATAACAATTGCTTTTCAAGTAGCACCAAAATATATCTGAAGACGTTGCTTGATGGTATGAATTAGTGAGGATCACCTGTGATACAATTTTGTGTCACTCCCTGTGACACTACCTATCGGCTATCTCAATATTAATTCTCACCATTTTAGCCTTCCTGTAAAGTTAACCATCATTAACTGAGTAAAAATAACTAAAAATAACCAACAAAAAAAATGACCGATTTGTATTTTAACATATAGAATGTGCTTGAATAAAAGAAAAGGAAAAAAGAATTTGCGTCAAATTTTGAAATGGAGTTTTTCTGGTGGGAGTTTTACGAATTGGCGTGTTGGGTTGACTTGGGCTGGTTAGATTACGAATTATCCCACGTAACTTACCGAATTTCAACTTTTTAAATACATATATCCGTAACTTTCATCACAGTTTGTTAACTCAGGTTGACAGGCCGACGATCCTGCTAAGGTGAGATAAAAAAAATTTTGCACTTTTTGGGCTTTTGTTGAACCCAAATCTGAAAAGAAATATCCCGAAAAAAGAAATTAAGGAAGTGCCTGGTTCGATTAAATGGCTATGATACTTTGGAGGATTCATAGACCAAGGTTTGATAGATGGGTATGAAATCTTCTTCTTAGCTACTTGGTTTGGATGTATTGTGAATCTAAAAATGACTTAAAATTACATCTTTATCCCTCTCACAAACAAAAGTGATCTCCATCTCCCAGTCATTGACGGACACCCCGACCACCACCTCACAAATCCTCCCCTTAGGAGGAGCCACCGCGTCAGTTTACACCAATTTGACCAAATTTTCAAAACTCGGAAGTCTACAATCGCAGCAAATCGCAAGTCTACAATCGCAACAAATTCTCATGACATGGCAGAAATTCTTCAGTAGAAAAATAGATCTGGGATAAATATGTAGTAATTCAACTAATAACATAGATATTTATGACTTCAAGTCTTCGACTAATTTTCCGATACAAACAACCAGATCGGTAATAGAATGGCGCGAGCTTATGTCTAACAATAAGACCCGAAGCTTACAATTATATTTGAATTAATTTCAATTGATTCCAGAAGTGATTCTCTCTCGGAAAAAAAAAAGAAAGAAAGATAATTGGAACTTGTTATGTTGATGGCGTCCATGGAGGAAATGAAACATGGTTCCACAGAGAAAAAATGAATTGAAGAAAATAGAAGGATTGATTTGAAAAAAAAAAATTGCTTCTGGTGTGTGGTCTAGAGAAGATAATACGATAGAGAGAGAGAGAAGAGGAGGGACAGATGAAGGGAAGAAAAGAAAAAATAGAGTTTTGTTGTTTAATTAGGCCAAAGCCAAGCGAAACCCATCTTTTTTTATGTGGAATGAAACATTGCCCAAAGAATGAAAGAAGTGGGCCCGTAAAACTGAACCAAGCACAATTTTTTGGAATGAAAGAAGGTGAAACCCCATAGAAAAGAATTGAAACCCACGTCCCAGGCACCTTGTACCATTATTTCTTCCCTTACTCTCTCTGTCAAAAAACCAAAAAACAAAAATCACATTAGATTTTAAAATTTGTACTAAATAGTTACAAAAAATAAATAAATAAATAAATCACAGAATTTTAAAAGGTATATTAAATATGATACTGTGAACTATTTTCCGGGGCAATTAGTATAATTTTGTCACCAATAGCCTAACTTATGTAATCATCCAGAGCGAATAAATCAAATAGTTAAAGACTAAGGAAAACGAATCCATATGGTATCAAATAGTTCAATCCAGGCTTTTTCCCCTTAATGCAAGATATTACTTTTTCACCTCAGAGATAATATTTGGTAAATACAACTCATTCCCAGGCTATATATATAATCATTAATGGAACCAAATATTTTGCGCCAATTGTAGCTTGCAGTAATCCTGATACCTAAGATGAGCTAAAACATTTGGTCTTGATCTGTAATTCTGTATCGAATCCTCTATACATTTGTTTGTTTACTCTATATTTAGAAGCTAATGCAACCAACTTCTGTCAGTATTTGAGATTGTTACACCAACCTAAATAAACACTACTATGGAGTTGGTTGGACCATATCAATCAACTTATAATTTTTAACTACTTCTCTTCATCTATATATTAATGATATATGCTTCCAATTCATACAATTCAAGACTATACATTAGACAAGTCGCAAAATGACAAGTTAGGAACATATGCAAATAACTTTTTGCTAGTTTTTGTTAATGAGTTTTTACCTAACTACAAATTCAGACAATATAAGGAACGCCAAAAGATAAACAACAAAAAAGAAGCAAAAGAAAAAATAGCTAGCTGGCTAGAAGTCTTCCAACATTGTGTTGGCTTAATTAATGACAAAGATGGCGTGTGTTATAAACTTTAAATACTCTTATATATGATGCTTTCTAACGTTTTGAAACGATAAATTAAAACCTATTGTAAGCCACAAGCCCTCCATTTCAAACCTATATTTCTTCAAATCTCAATATGACCTATATTTTGATATTAAACAAGTACTTATTAAAGGTTACTCCAAATTTCTGTATATAAAGTCTAAACTTAAAAAATTTCGGGAATTAGAAAAGAGCAATTCTTGAATTTTTTTTTCTTTAATTTATACTATAGATTAATTTTTTTTGGTCCTAATTATAAGATATAAATTAATGCTAATATCAATTGAAATTTGTATTTTATAAGTAGGCTGAGTGGGAATGGTGCAATTTGTGGAGACCAATAAAATGTGGTAAAGGGAGCATAGTAAGGCGTCGTCAATGTTTGTCTCTTTTGAGGAAAAATCTTTGTCCTACTTGAGGAACTCCGCCTGCTAGGTAATTTGTCGCTATGTTATCCAGCTCTTATCAACTGGAAAATTCAACTTGACTTATGCTCTCATTACATCCACTATTTTGATTCTTCATACTATCTCGGTTAAACAATTTAGTGGTTGGCGCAATTTGACACTATGTCAACTTCTTGGTGAATATTAATATAAATAACGTGGTTCATATGTTACTTCTCAAATGCTCAACACACAGGAGAAGAAGGTAGAATAATGGCGAAAATTGGAGAAATCAGTTCAAGATGGTCGCTTGCCGGAAAAACAGCTCTGGTCACCGGCGGAAGCAGGGGAATCGGCCGTGCAATAGTGGAGGAATTAGCCCAACTCGGCGCCACCGTCCACACTTTTTCAAGAAACGAAGCTGACATGAACTTAGCATTGCGAGAATGGAGTTCAAAGGGATTCAAAGTCACCGGTTCAATCTGTGATGTTTCTTCAAGGGAACAGAGAATTCAGCTCATGGAAAAAGTCAGCTCTGTTTTCGAGGGAAAGCTGAACATTCTGGTCAACAATGCCGGAGTTCTAATCCCGAAGCCATTTGAAGAATATACTCCGGAAGATTATTCGACCCTTTTTTCCACAAATCTTGAATCTTGTTACCATTTTTCTCAACTCGCTTATCCTCTGCTCAAATCTTCAGGGAATGGGAGCATTGTCTTCATCTCCTCTGTTTCGGGTCTAATTGGTCTTAATGGTGGATCTCTATATGGAGCAACAAAAGCAGCAATCAATCAACTCACAAAGAATTTGGCTTGTGAATGGGCAGAAGATAACATCCGGGTGAATTCGGTTGCCCCATGGTTTATTAGAACTGCCATGGTGGAAGACTATATTGATATCCCGGAAGCTGCAAAGAAGATTGAATCGAGAACTCCGATGAAACGGGTTGGTCAACCGGAGGAGGTTTCATCGTTGGTGGCTTTTCTTTGTCTTCCGGCAGCTTCTTATATCACCGGTCAAGTTATTGCGGTTGATGGAGGTCTGACAGTCAACGGGTTTTGACTCGGAGATCTTGCCAGCCGACCAAGTTGCCTATCACATCTGAGTGAATGCAAATGGGGAAGTGTTTTCATTTTTCACTTTTCATTTTTTACATATTAAAAGATTAATATAAAAATTTGTGTTGGAATATGAATGAGTGAATGTATTTAGGGAGTCATATATCTGCTAGTATGATAATTTCTCATATAGTATTTCACGAATCTGTATGAGTGAGACCTGTAATTCGGACATGGTACCTTCGACTTGAAAAATATTCATTTGTAGTGTTCAACAGAATTATACTAAATTTGCTCGGTGACACCTATAATTAGTAGTTCTAAACCATAGACATCACTCAATGATATTTGACTAATTTTATCATATTCTTTTCCATTGTATGGCAAGTATGTCGTATGGCATCCTCTATTGCTCGGTTACATGACATTATTCACTAAATATAACTTTGGCCCATAGATCTCACATCCCTAATGAAGACCCCTAAGGTCTAACTCGCACTAGCTAAAAGACCAATTGACGAAGTATGGATCTGCACGGTGCTTTAGGACGGGCGGCAATGATGATCTAGGCGGCGGCGGACGGCCTAAAACCTGCAAGACAGAGCCTCCCGAGGGTAAACTCTCCGATGCTTAAGTCAATAAGGGAATAAAGAGATTAGAGAAAGAAGGGTGTGTATTGTGTGTAGAAGGTGTAGAAGATAGGTAGAAGGTTTGTATTATGGGAGAGGCACCACCTCTTTATATAGAGGTTACGTTACCTGTTTCCTGAAACCTAGTCGTATTAGGTTTAGGCAGTGACTTAATCTTCAAGATAGCCGGCCCAAACCCATTAGAGTTAGGGTTAATTTTGACTCGTCAAGTGCACCTAGCAAGCCATATTCTCGAGACTTGGTCTAACTTGCACTAGCTAAAAGGCCAATTTATGTGAACGATATATCTTGAAGGTCCATCTAAGCCCACATGTGATTTCACCTCAAAATCAATTGGCTATGAGGGGAGTAGCATATGAAATATATATGGTGATCAAGTTGGTTTCCCAACTCCAATGTGGGACAAGTGTCTTTCACTTGTTTTCAAGTTCAAAAGGAGATTTTAACACCCCCTCTTCAAGCCCAAAGGGCTTGGACAAGGCCCCTTTGAACAGTCAAAGGTCCAATATAGGCCAGTCAAACCGGAGAAATCGCCAGATCGGTCAAAAGTCCACCCACAATGTCTGCGGATTAAAACCTGCTCTGATACCATCTTGAAGGCTCATATAAGACCATGTGTACCTCAAAACCAATTGGCTATGAGGGGAGTAGCACATGAGGTATATATGGTGATCAAGTTGGTTTCCCAACTCCAATGTGGGACAAGTGTCTTTCACTTGTTTTCAAGTTCAAAAAAGGATTTTAACAATGTATTTGTGATCCACAATTCCACATGAAAAATTCTTGGGATGTTGTGTGCCGTCTCGCGGTTGTCGATCGAGCGATTGAGCTGTGGCCACATGGTTTTGATTCTTCCGCCTCCAATATCAGGCCGGGGACCAAGAATTATGCATATGAGTGTCTGTCGGATACTACCAAGCTAAGGTCATCAAGTCAAAAAGGACCATTGTTTTATATTAAAGAGTCTCAATCCCACATCGGTGTTGGGAGACTTTGAGTATCAATATATAAGTTCCATGGACTACTCCCTTCATTATCAATTGGTTTTGAGGTGGAACCCCAAGGACTTTTATTTGGTATCAGAGCCAGTCTGCCGACATTCGGACTCCAAAAAGTCCGACAAAAAATAGGACTAAGACGTGAGGCAATATCTGGACCGAAAAAAGAGGACAAGTACAACCCAAAAAAATACGTTGAGCTTGCGGGGGAGTATTAAAGAGTCTCAATCCCACATCAGTGTTGGGAGATTCCGAGTATCAATATATAAACTCCATGAGCTACTCCCATCATTGTCAATTGGTTTTGAGGTGGAACCCATGAACTTTTATTTTTTAAACTGTCGTATGATCATATCATATCCCAAAACACAATGTTTTTCAATCTTCAGCAAGGCTCATTTGTGATTTTGTTTTTATTTTTTAAACTGTCGTATGATCATATCATATCCCAAAACACAATGTTTTTCAATCTTCAGTAAGGCTCATTTGTGATTTTGTCTTTTAATCTGTGCCATAACATCTTTGAAGAAGTATTCCTTTTCTATAAGATAACATCTTTGAAGAAGTATTCCTTTTCTATAAGAATTCATTCAACAAATGGAATCAACAACGTCTCAATTTAACAATCATTTCAAGCATGGAAAATGTTTCAGCGGTAAAAAGCGCAAGGTGGTCTTTCTCAACAACAATGACTGCTCTTGTCACCGGCGGCACCACGGGATCGGCCGGGTAATCGTTGAGGAATTAGCCCAACACAGCGCGGCGTGGTATATCCAGGTGAATTGTGTCGCGCCCCGGGTATATCAGGACGCCGCTTCCTACATTACTACAAGGTATTGTTGTGGATGGAGGAATGACTATAAATGGCCTCGAATAGTATTGATGTATTTTGTCAGTCATCTCCGTGTACTTAATTTCTTGGTCCTGAATTGAGAAGGTGTAAAATCAACTTATATGAAAGAAGTTCAAATTTACAAAATCATACTGAATCGATCTTTCTAATATCTTTACTAGTATAATGGATGACACTTGTGTAAAACTCAATGGAGCTCCCAAAGTTACGTTTGAAATGAGTACTAAAGATTGTCCCGGCTACCTATCGTGTACGAGTCATGTAATTTATATGATCGTTGTTAAGAGAAAGAAGGGAGGAATTCCCTTCTTGATTCTGATTATGACGACTTCAATCATTCACGTTTCCTTTTGGTACTTTGAATTTAGCTGTTTCAACTTCAGCCACTGAAAAACTTGATCTTCCTAGGTAAATGTGAGGACCAGTATCTTCCGGAAAAATCATAGAATTCGTGAACCAGTGAAATTTGTTCACTTCATAAATCACTTATAGTAGCATACTCCACTAATTTATACTAAAACATAGTGCATATTTACTAAAGTTTCATTCTGGCAAAAGAAAAATCTTCAGCATTTGTCTTTTCTCCCTTAGCTGCAAATTGCCCTGATTATCACAACGCGCAATGGAAACGAAAACAGCTACCGGTTCAAGATATTCTCTTTCGGGGATGACAGCTCTAGTGACCGGTGGAACTCGCGGAATTGGCCGTGCAATCGTAGAGGAATTTGCTCAACTTGGCGCGACGGTACACACGATATCTAGAAACGAGGCAGAGCTGAATCAAGTCTTGGAAGAATGGAAATCAAAGGGATTCAAAGTGAGTGGTTCAGTTTGCGATGCAACTTCCCGAGAGCAAAGAACTCAACTCATGGAAGAGGTATCGTCCAATTTCGCTTCCAAGCTGGACATCCTAGTAAACAATGTCGGAACAAACGTTTTCAAGCCATTTTCTGATTGTACAGCTGAAGAATATTCTCAACTCATGTCCACGAATCTTGAATCTTGTTTCCATTTCTGCCAACTCGCTTATCCTTTCCTGAAAGCATCTCGGATTGGCGGAAACATCGTGTTTGTATCCTCGGTCGCAGGGCTTGTGAGGGTTGACTACATGGCGATTTATTCAGCCACAAAGGGTGCAATAAATCAACTCACAAAGAACTTGGCTTGTGAATGGGCTAAAGACAACATTCGGGTTAATTGCGTTGCGCCTTGGGTTACGCGAACCTCGCTAGTCGAAGGTTTGCTTAACGACGCTAATAGGATGAAGAAAATCGAAGCAGCAACGCCGTTAGGACGTGTTGCAGATCCAGAAGAGGTTTCGTCATTGGTAGCATTTCTCTGTTTGCCGGCTGCTTCATATATCACTGGCCAAGTTGTCGCAGTTGATGGAGGGTTGACTGTGAACGGGTGCGTATGGAGTTGATTCCCAGGTTTAAGGTATCTTAGTACAACTTTGTTAGCATAAGTCAATGAAAAAATTTTGATATGCAATGTGCAAGAATTTCTACGTTGGGTTGATTCTCTCTTGTGGAATGTCAAGTGATTGTTTTTTATTCAACATTTCATATGAGCATAGACAGCATAAATTTTAACCTTATAAATTGTGGAAATTATTGAGTCCCTACCATTTTTCATCCGGGATCTAGGCAGAGTACTACATTTTAAAAAAGAATAAAATAAAATGGCTTTGTTGTTGTGATTTTTATAAAGCCAGTTAATATTACATTTCGACACTTACAAGTCTTTGTCGAACCGCGGTTGCGACCGAGAGTTCTTTTCTTACGAAGTGTATCGGACATCGCCTTGTGGTAGCGCATCTGCCGCATGTAACACTACCTAATATTCCAACCGTCTCACAATTATTATCGTATTTGTTATATTATAACAGGATGAATCTTGTAAGTTTCGCAAATTGTAAAGCCTAAGAGAGTTTTTGATTCCCACAAAAATAAAGCACATTTTCTCTGTATCTTCTTGATCATCATCCATGGCCAAGGCAGCTGAAAACAGTTGAAGATGGCGCCTTAAAGGAATGAAAGTTCTCGTAACCGGCGGGACGAAGGGGATCGGCCGGGCAATTGGTTAAAGATAACCCAAAAAGTTAACTAAACGAACTAAAAGGTCGATACGTGTAGATGAATTTCGTTCATTTCCAGCACTCTACAGGTTTTTTTAAAAATAAAATAAAATAAAATTTGGTTGATTTGATTCAAAAGTTAAACCCTAATCCAAAGGTCAACTAAACGTTTTAGTCAATAAATGTAGATGAATTTCGTTCATTTACAGCACTCTACAGTTTTTTTTTTTTTTTTGAATTTTTGGTTGATTTGATTTGTTAATAGAGACCGAACAAGACATATTAATCGAGACTAGATCAAAGAGAGACTAAACCACCAAAGGATTGGGAAAAATTTTGTGTGTTTATTGAGTGATACAATGTTCGTATTTATACATGAAAATAGGCTTATACCAAATCTATTACATTTAATTCTCGATAGGACCAAATCAAATCAACCCTAATCTAAACAAATCCAATCAAATATATTAACATAAATGACCAATATGATTCAAAAATTAAACCCCAAACTAAAAGAAAACAATAAGTTAACGAAAATGACTAAAATGACTCGAACAGTGATGAATATCATTATCTATAGTACTTAATTAAAGCAGCAAACAAAAAGGACATGTGTCAGCACCACAATGAAAATATTCCCACCAAAAGTCATTTTCAGTATAAAATCATTTTTGACACGTGACACTCTAACTAGTCAGAAAAAAAAAAGATAGAATAGATAAATACATAAATCCCTTAATTATAGCTACATAAAAATATCTTAATTATAAGTACATACTAATCCCTTAAAACAACAATATTTAGTTGATAAAATCAAATATAAGGAAATCCCTTAAATCAAGTGAAACACCAGTAATGTCTTCCTAATACCCAATTTCAAAGAATCTCTTCCATTCCGCTCCTCTCTCACACACGGGCCTTTAAATCAATTACTTAAAATCTTAAATCAATTATCAATCCATCTCTTTCTACAACAGAAAAAAAATAAGCTGTCATTAAAGAAATTTGATTTTTTAAGGATGTTTTTTTTTAATTCTTCTGTTGTAAATATTGGTCTATGATTTATGTAAACCCAGGCATAAGTTTACTATTATAAATTAAATGTTGTAAATCTGGGCATAAATTTATGTGTAATAACTCACTTTCTGTCTTTTAAATCGATTTTTTATTCTTCTAATTTTTTTTATTCTTTTAAGTCGTATTTTTTATTTAATCAATTTAAAAATACAGACGACACTCCGGGCATTCGCCCGGGGCAAGCATCTAGTATATCCTACTATATTAGAAACAAAAACCTCCTTTTCAAACACCTCATATGATTGCCACGTGGCATGTGGAAATTACTAAATTACCCTTTTGTCTAACTATAACTAAATTATTAAATCTCCCATTTCACTTTACGTGACACGTTTTTCTTTTTTAATTTTTTCTTTATATTTCATTCAACTAGAGTGGTTTTTTAAATTGAATTGATCAATTAGGTTTTTTGTTACAAAGTGTCAATTTTGTTTTAAGCGTATACCCTTCGGATGAAGCTTATTACATAGCTATTAAAAATCTCCAAAACTAAGTATTGATTTGGCACGACCAATGGAGAACATCAATAAATCATCTTACTAATATTTAAATTTATTAGGATGCTTTTATATTTTATCTAACATTTACTTCAACACATATATTCGATTAAGCTATTTATATTTAATAAGTAACACTTATAAAACATTTCTAAAACATACATGGCGAAATACAATTTATTTTTTTTTTGCGAAATACAAATATTTCTATGATCACACTTATAAAACATTTCTAAATCCTTCAAAAATTTTTAAAATATATCGCTCCAAATACAAAATTTTATTTTTTTCAAATATAAATATTTCTAAGATCTACAAATAGACTGGGCCAGGGTCGCGCATTGCGCGACCAGACATTACTAGTATTAAAAGAAAGAAAGATAATCAACACGTGTTGCTCATTCAAGCCATCAATAGTTTTAGTGACACATGTCATTATCTCATAGAAAAGTCATTAAACAGTAAACAAATTAGTTAAACTGTTAATTCACATAGATAACTATTAAGTCTGGAAAAAAAAATATTACTAATTTTTAGAAAGAAAAATGTAATTGCTGGCCATCGGTAGAGGCAGGTGGTAGAGGAACTAGCACTGGAAAAGTCATGGCTGGGGAAACTGCAGCAGGCATAAAAAATGTTTGGATACCATTAGGAAGGTGGTAGTGTTGGGCGAGCAATCGGGGCAAGTAATACTCCAATTGTGAGCACAAGGCCATAATGCTTTAGCCCTGGGTGACGAATATGATTGGGCGACCTGCTTGCGGGTGGCACGGCTGAATGGGCGAAGCAACAAAACGGTTGGACGGCAAACGATGAATGGCGGGAGGGCAGATGAATTTTGATGTCATATACTTTGATTTCGGCATGGATTGAGTGGAATTCAATCATCTGTTTTGTGGAACTCATCATGGGGATTATTTTGGCGCAAAGAACGATGAATTTTGTGCACTGGAGTGCGAGATCGAGTTCAACGGCGGTGGTTCGCTTTGGCCGGCAATATCTATTTAGGGAGGTTGATAAGTTCTTAAAATTGCTAAAAAAACCCCCACCTCCAGAAGCCGTTGCATGTAAAAGTTTAAACTTTCAAGTAGTTGTCAATTCGAGCATTTAAGTTTCATTAATGTGCTACTTAGTTCTTCAAGTCCATTAATTATTATATTTTCGAGGACATTAATTGTGCATTTGTGCCTCATATATTATCATTTTGATTGTGGGCTAAATTCAAGTTGGTCTGAAGGTAGGCTACGTTTCGTGGAGTCCTCTATATATAGACGAAAATAGCAAAATAATGTAATTAGTTGTACTAATTTGATAATGAATAAATGACTATAAATTACTATATAAATATGTTATGATTATATTTGACAACTTGAAATTTGGAATGATCTGATGGTGCTAATTTATTTTATTTAATTTTTTTTGATAGATAGGCAATTTGATTTAACTTTCGTTTTTTACGAAAGAAAAAAAAAATCTTAACTTTAGTGGATTATAATTTATACTCAATCTAGATTTATTTCTTTGTTTGGGATTTATCCTGAGTTGTCATTCTATTTTGTAAATTAATCATCATCTTTGAGTTCTTTAAAACAAATCTGATACCGGGTTATTGTGTTCATACTAATCACATTAAGCTATGTTGGTAATTTTCAACACCAATCAAATCCTTGATATTAGTAATTTTTCATTCCTTTAGTTGTTGATTGGAGAGTCTTCATCTCAAATTAAACATGTTACTGTTCGTAGTATTGTCTTCTTTGTATTTGAATTATATATGATGATGACCTTACACCAAAAAAAAAAAAAGAATTATGGTGACAACCAAATTAATAGAAGTTAATTATTATATATCTTGAAGGATTTAAAGCAATATTGTGTTGTATATATACTTTGTTGTTTGAATGAATGTTGTATTCTTCCTCTTATAGGAGAAAGGAGATGGTGTTTGTGGTATCTAATGGTACAAGAAGGACTCGGATTCTGGAGTGAGATACCTACTTTTTAGTTTGAGGGAAAGTTATTGCACTTTATTTCATAGCAAGAGGAAAAAAGAATATGTCAATACTTTTCGACAAAAAGTTCTAAAATTAATAAGAACAAATAAAACTAAATAATCATTTTAGGATAAAGAGAGTATTTTATATCATCACTTTTATGTCATCATATAATGATAAAAATGTTCACTTGTTGAATTAAAGGAGTAATATAAAATTAAATTATCTTTTAGGATGAAAAGAGTATTAAATAAAATAATTTGGTTAATATCAAAACGCCCCTAAGCTACGTTCGATCATCAAAAACCGCCTCTTCTTTTCATTCCGCATATGGATGTCAGTCTTTCTGATAGAAGAATGCCAACAAAACTTAAAAATAGACAATTTATTGTAGTTACCTGTTTTGCTATGACAATAAATAAAAATCAAGGCCAATCTCTCTTGTATGTGGATTTGTTTTGCACCGTCTCATCTTTGCACATACAGTCAATTTTATGTTGTGCTTTCCCAAGTAAAATTCAAAAAGATTTTAAAGTTTTCATTTGTCTCAATCGCAAGACCATTATTGTATACAATAAAGTATTTTAGAACTTACGAATATGTAGTAGTTCATTAATTTTTATTTTATTACTTTTAATACAATATAGATTGAGCATTTTTTATGTAAAAATCACCTATTACTATTATTATGTGTTTGCTTGAATCTATATGAGTTTTTTTAAAAAAAAAATAAGTAATATTCAATAATACACATTTTGAAACCTTTTAAGAATGATTAATGTCATTACAATTTGATTATCGTAATAACATCTAAAAACCGCCATGCAAGAAAATTAAAAGAAAGATAATGATTTGTGCAAGAAAATTTTAGAAGGATTTTAACATACTGAATCATAATCATTTATTTTTAATATTTTCTAATTAGGGTATAACTATTTAAGACTAGGGCAAATTTTTTATGATTGACACATAATTCCCTATAAATTTTTCCTGTAAATTAAGAGAATACCATACCTAAGATGAATTTGACTGTTTAAGACACTATGGTAGTTTTTTTTTTAAATAGTTTTTTATTTGATTTAAAACTAAACAAAGATTGAAATAAAACCACCAGTTACCAAAAGTGCTAATGAAAATTTTCTACTAGTCTTAAAAAAATAGTCACATTTTAATTTTAAAATTTGTACTATTTCTAGTTCAAGTTTCAAAATTCAACCTGTACTACTTTTTTGGGCTAATGGAATATTAAAAGAACTACTGAAAATTCAAATCCATCATCAATGTCTGGATCTTGATGACTTTGTCGATGCACTTTTGTCGACAAGATCTTCGTGTGGGTCGTCAGGCTTTGTAGAAGAATTTTTCTACATCCCATATTCCCATAGAGTTGAGCGTCGGAACGACAATATCTGTTGAAGAATTTGAGCAGACAAGGTTCCGTCTTCAATATTTTTGAATAAAATAAAAGTAAATACCTAGAAATAAATTTTTACCGTTGCCGGCGCACCGTGAGGTTCTCGGGATTATTCCGCCGAATTCATCTACAATTGAGCACAAAGTGAAATAATAAAACGAAATTTAGCATAAGTTGGTTAATTAAAGATAATCCAAAACGTCAACTAAAAGAATTAATAAGTCAATACATATAAAAGAATTTCGTTCATTATAGCAATTGTATAGTTTTTTTTTTTTTTTTTTTTTTTTTGCAATTTTGGTTGATTTGATTTATAAATAAACCCAGGCTGGAAGAAACGACACGTTAACGAAAATGAGGAAAGACAACCCGAAAAGTGATGAAAATTATTGATTAAAAATAATTGGAAATTCAATACCTAATATATAAATTTTGACTATTTGGTCGAAATTGATTTAATGCCTATAGATGAATTTCACCGTTTAAGGCACATTTGAAGTTTTTTATTTGATTTAAAATCAAACAAAGATGGAAAAAACGACAATTTACAAAAAAAAAAAAAAATTACACAACTTGACAGGTAATGAAAATTTTTTACTCTCTCTGGATTTCAATGACTTTGTCGATCGACTTTTGTCGAGAAGTTCTTCGTGTTGGTCGTCTGTCGTCATATGAACCTGACAATTACGTCGACGACAACTTTTGAGGAAGAATTTTACATCCCCTCAACTTAAGGGTCAGCATAAATAGCTCGATGATAGTTGACAAAAGTTTTTGTAGAAACCATTGTCATCTCGTCGACATTAGCATCGGCTTTATTATCTCGATTATTAAGTAGACGAAATTTTTCATTGAAGAATTTTACATCTCATCGACTAAAGTATTTGGCATAGATATTTCGAAAACTAATCGATGAAACTCTTTTTAGAAGAATTTTACAATCTTTGACTTGAACGTCTAAATAGCACGATGGCCAAGTTGGCGAATTTTCGCCAATGACTCATTGCATTACATAAAAACAGAAAAAATATATAATATATATACAATAGGTTAAACAGAATTAATTTGATAAGATCATGAACAGAAGTGCTCCAAGTATTTTGTAAGGAACAAGAAGTCAAGAACTTACGAGTCAGAAATAACATTTCAACCGATAAATATTCTCCTAAACTACCTTTAGCCATTATTTGGAAAGATTGGCACTTGGCAGCCTCATCAAGAGCTTCCAAAGCCTCATCTGTAATGCAAAATCAATCTGTGACTTTTTGGTAACATGTGACGCTAAGAGTTGTAATACCAAAAGCGGAAAAATCAAATAAAATACATAGAAAAATAGACTAGGTGAGTAATATATCATTTTGTCGAGTAACAACCGGAAGCAATAAATAAATTATATGGACTTTGGTAAAGTGGCTCATATATAATTCAGTGCACTTATGCACGCATTTCTCATCCGGGGTCTACGCTGCAGCGTATTATATTTTCTTAAAAAAAAAAAAAAAAAAAGTTGGCCTTCTTCTTGCGATTTTTATACAGTATATAGCCAAATGTTATAGTGCATTTCGACACTCACAAGTCTTTGTCGAACCGCCCGTTGCGACCAAGAGTTTTTGTCCGGAGAAATAGGTACTCACATCTATAGGTCAACGCCTAGTGTAGCTCATCCTGCACATGCAACTGAACATGATATTCCATTTATCTCATAATTATTGTCCTATTTGTTATATTAAAATAGTATAAATTTTGTGTAAGTTCGCAAATTGCAAAGCCTGGCAGCGATTTAACTTTAATTACCAAACAATATCCCAAAAAAAAAAAAAAACAAAAGCGCATCTTCTCTGCTGCTTCTTGATCATCATCATCAATGGCCAAGGCAGCTGAAAACAGTTCAAGATGGTCTCTGCAAGGAATGACAGCTCTCGTAACGGGCGGGACGAAGGGGATCGGGCGGGCAATAGTGGAGGAGCTAGCTCAACTCGGGGCAACTGTCCATACTTTTTCAAGAAATGAATCCGATCTCAATGAACTCTTGCAAGAATGGAGTTCAAATGGGTTTAAAGTCAGCGGCTCAGTTTGTGATGCATCTTCCAGGGATCTAAGGATTCAAGTAATGGAAAAGATCTCTTCCCTCTTTCAAGGGAAACTCAACATCCTCATAAACAACGTTGGGACTTGTGTAGGAAAACCGGCCGCTGACTTCACCCCTGAAGAGTATAACCTGATGATGTCAACCAATCTTGAATCTGGTTACCATTTCTCGCAACTTGCTTATCCTTTGTTGAAAACATCAGGGATCGGAAACATAGTGTTCATTTCCTCTGTTGCAGGTTTGACAAGTGTGCAATACGCTTGTATTTATGGTGCAACTAAAGGTGCCATAAATCAACTGACCAAGAATTTGGCTTGTGAATGGGCTCAAGATAACATCCGGGTCAACGGGGTTGCGCCTTGGTTTGTCAGAACTCCGCTAGTGGAAGACGTTCTCAGCGATGAAACCTTCTTGAAGAAAATCGAATCAAGAACTCCGATGAGGCGCCTTGGAGAACCGGAAGAAGTTTCCTCTGTAGTTGCTTTTCTTTGTCTCCCTGCTTCTTCATACGTCACTGGGCAAGTCATAGCTGTTGATGGTGGATTCACTGTAAATGGATTTGACTAGGAAGCGAAGCATTTAAATGGAAGAAACAGTTTTTTATACTTGCCAATAATTATTCACTCTTTACTTGTAAGTTTTTCTGTTACATTTGATCCTGATGTTGTTGTCTCTGTCATTTTATCATGTTCTAATCAATTTATCACAGATTTTTATAAAGTTGGATTGAGTTTGTAGCTCTCCCCTAGTTTGACTTGGTGACAATGAATATAACCATTTCTACCTTTCTAAGGAATAACAAGTATCTGGTTAGCCTAAGCCTAGCTTACTGCAGATTAGCCTTACTGTTATAGTGTTGTCCCAAAGATTGGAAGGTTTTGATCCTGAATCTAGAACAATACATTTTCCTATACCTGCATTGATTGATCTTGTAAAGCGATTTGAGTTTGAATGAGTAATATCATGCGGTCTGGAATCACTGTGTGAAGAATTTCCTTGAGTACCTCAATAATGTACAAAGGCAAACTTCACCTGGTATACAATCAAGTTGAGAAGTACAGAAGCAAGACCTAGTGATTTATTTGGTCTGCTGGCAAACACACTTATCTTTTCCCCTGGTTCTCAGTCTTTATTTTCTTTAGAGAATTCAACAGAGAAGAGTTTTCTTGCCCGTTTGATTTTTTCGCAAACGGATTAGATGGACGGTTAGAGGTTATGGGGCTATCTTCGGGTTGCTTTGCTAGACTTGTTGCTTCTCTAAGAATCTTCGGTTTCACAGGACTCTTCACCTCCACAGGTTTCTCGGATTTTGTAGCTTGAATTGGTTCTTTACCCTTTTTGTCTTTAGACTGCTCTTCTTCTATGCCTTTTCTTTGACAGGCAGTGAATGATGATCTTTGGGGCGGAAATGGAGACACGGTGTCTTCTTTTTGCTTACTGCTCTCAGCTAGAGCAGGTCGAAAAAAAGAATCAGGAGCCTGGAGGGGAGTATTACATTTTGGATGGATTGCGCTTTCTCTCGCTTCATTCATTAACCTTTCCTGCATGTGTACAAAATGATGTAATCATGGTTATTCAGAAAAACAAGCTCTACAGAAAGTGGCTTTCAAAGCCAAACATAATTCTGTAATTTGCAGAATTCCCAACCTCCAGTATGCAATTGAAACGGTCAGCCAAGTTTGGCAACTTCAATGCAGTAACCAGCTTTATGGCTCCTCTTACAGATTTTTCCATAGACAAAAGCTTCACAAGTTCTGTAGCTCTCACAAGCTTATCACCTGATAAAATTAAAAGCAACTGAATGAGTAAATTGATCTTGGATGACTTGCAACTTCCATGAAAAACCCAAATTTCCGGAGAAGGGGAGGAAATGAAAAGAAGTAAAATTCAACTTAAGTTGCAAGCTACAGTAATTAGAATGAGAGACTACCATTGCAACATGATGCAATAAGCCTCAAGATGCATCTATCAAGAGCTGCTTCAGTGTTAAATGCTTCATCATCTAGAGATCCTGTATCTTGACCAACAGATGCAGCTTCCTCAATTTTTTTCTGAACCTGAAAAATTATTTAAGCCTTTAAGCTTGCGGATAGCTTTTGAAGGTCGAGAGTAAAACTATCCATTCTGACAAATGTGTATAGACATCACAATATTGAAGATAAGAAAAATACTTCCAGTGATTGGTGTTGGCAAGGAGCATTCATGTCGTGCGAACTTTAACGACACACAAATGAGGTTGATTACCTGGAAGAGATGCATGTTATTCAGTACAAATTCATTCTCAAGGCTTTCTGCTCCAAGATCAGAAGTGGCAAGAGGGACTGAGAGATCCAACAGAGTGAGAAGTGGCTTGGGAGTGGTCTGAAAGATCAGGGACAGCACTTCAACTAGAAACATTGTGATAGAAAAGGCACAACAGGAAAGAATGTTCAACAATACATACCTGTGGGAATGAACTAGGAGATTTGCAAACCACGCAAAACAGCTTAGTAGCATTGAAGCCAACAATCCAGTAATTCTCATCTGATTTCTTCAATTTACTAGAGCTACAAAATAATCATTCCTAGTTAATGTATTTTGATGTCTACACAAGCAGAAGTAATAACGCTACATCTAAGGATATGTACCTGAATATTGGGAACCAAGAACCTCCATATTGATTGGTATAAACTCTCAAGACACCCTGCAAATTGGATACACACTTTAGTTAGATTCTACTAAATCAACGCTCAAGAACAAACTTGAAAAGAGAAGTCCTGAGATAAACCTCACCTTGGAATCAAAAGAACCAAGTTGGCCTTCTTCACTGAAACCAAACCAGGATAAGCATGAACCAGGTGTCAGCGGAAGGCGTCCTCGAGTTAATTGGGTTGCACTAGAAACATTCAATAACCTAAATTCAAGCTTCTGCAATGCAAAATCATCAATGTGAAATTCATTATCTTCAAGCATGAACAAGAGGGAAAGATATAATTTGCACCTGCTCATCAGTGGGCAGAGAAGGAGAAGAATGTGTAATAACGGCAAGTTTATCCTCAAACCCAACTAATGTAACCACAGGTCCATCAAGGGAAAGGATATGCCTCTGAAAAATGTAAAACATCAAACCCACAATAGATTAGAAATATTTGTTCATGGAGGGAGAAGAAATTGTTATTTTTTCTCATATTTTACATCATCTCTGCTACAACACATACAAGGGATACTCATATCTGAAAAGATTAAATACAGTGGAATCCCACATGCATTAAGCTCTGGGAAACTGATCGCTGACCTGTAAGCCACCCTCTGTGAAGATACGAAGAAAATTAAGACTAGTAGCGGCAGCTACCCAAGTTGTTCCAAGTGCCACAGCCTTTACTTCCTCGTCTTCAAATCTCATAGACCACTACAAAAAGTCACCAGGAAATCAAATGATTTTCCGAAGAAATGAAATTAAAATTCTAGGAAGATACACATAAACATAAATATCAGGAGCGTCTATGGTTCCAGTTTACCTCACTATTACTTGCCCAACAACTGAATGGGCGATACATAAGAGTGCTCAGATTCTTCTCACCCTTGCATGGATTGGCAAAGATACTTCCTTTCTCGTTTAAAGAGGCCATTGTGAAACCAAAGTAATCAGTCATTGCAGGCACTCGAGGACCACTTCCCGTGTCATGAAAGTCAACCTGCAGTAGTATTACACGAGATCAACAAAAACTAAAACATGAACATATTCAAATTAATACAACAAACCTGTCATCTACAAAATCCAAAAATGACTAACTGAAGTGATGCTAAGGTACTTGCAAATTACAAATATCTTATTCATGGGTGAGCAACGCAAACATACTGATCAGTGACCACCAAGGATAAATTTTCTTGGCAAGAACACTCACTATCACATTATACTGATACATGTAACATTTTTGGCTTGTGCCCAACCAACTTAAGAAACTATGATCAGGACTTAATAGGTTATGCCTTAGTTCTATCTTGCAGCAGCTATTTTAAATATGTTAAGCAAATCATCTAGACATTTGTAATCCAAGTTTTAAATGACTGCAAATTTCAATTCTTAACCTCACGTTTCAAGCTATGCCTTGGCTAGGTGGAAAAACAGTAGCCAGTAAAGAAGAAATCAAACAGAGACACTATCAATTTATATATGAGTTTAAGAAAAGAGCTTAGAGTACCTCTATGTGGGAGTAGCCATCATGTTCCATGGTGGTTACACTTCCTATCATGTTGTAGCATAAAAACCGCCTTTTCCCAGTCTGCACAGGAGTAGCTCCAGGTTGGAAAGCCTCTTGCATTTTTATTTCGGAGTAGGAAATCTTTCTTTTTGACTCGTTCTTCTCAAGATCAACGCTATGTTTCTTATCACTAGAAGCCTTTTTGTGGGGTTCGACCTTTGGAACCAAATCCAACTCTTCATTAACGTCTTCTTCCCAACTATCGACATACGTGGAATCTTCACGTGATCTTTTTCGGCTTGCAGGTTCAGATTCGCCGTTGCTGTCTTCACCGAGATCACTCAAACTTCCAGATGCACTAGGTTCTTCCTCTTCATCAAAAAATAGGAGGCCATTGCTTCGTATATTAGGAATGTCCTCTGTAGGGGATTTCATTGATGATGGTACAGGCGATTCCCAGACACCATACTTTCCCATTACATCTATAACTGCCAAAGCATTTCCATTAGGCTTCCAAGCCATGCAAGAGATTCTCTCACTAAACTTTTGCCGATCAAGGTCTTGCTTTTTGTCGACATCCCATATCATTATCTGCCTATCTAAACCAGAGGTTGCCAAATATTTGCCATTAGGTGACCAACACAAGAAACAAATGGGTTGCACATGATCACCTCTAAGTGAGAACAGTTTTTCAGCTGTGTCCCTATCATACATCACCACATCATTTTTCAAACCTGGAACAGCCAACAGGTCCCCATCTGGGCTCCAGCTTAGCACATTCATAGCAGATTGATCAGAGAAAGTAGCAGGAGCTATGCTCTTAAGTGTATTAAGAATTGCTCCCGGCTGAAGTTCCCAATGTATAACAGTTCCTGTTGAATCAACTGAAGCAAAATATTCACCCTTGGGGTCAAAAGCTAACCCAGTAACAGATCCTTTATGTCCCTTAAGAACTCTTGCAATCGAACCATCAATTGTATTAATAAGTTTGATACCCTCGTCATCACCAGCAGCTGCCAACATGGTCCCAGATTTATTGAAAGCAAGTGCACGTATCGGCAGTGTAAATCTAGTAATGCTGGTCTCGAACTCTCCACCTGACCAAAAGAACATGCCAGAAGGGAGAACGCTTTATAGGCAAGTAGGTCATTGACAAACTACAGTAAGCTATTCTCTAAATTAGCTGAAGTGTCAATTAAAAGTGGTATTCAATTCAAGTATCCAAGGAAACCAAGTTTTATTTGTATCAAACTTCTCCTACACAAAACATGGCATTTAACATGAAAGGAAAAGGAGGCTTCATATTTCATAGTATTCTTTGGTCTCAATTTACAAAACTCAATATCCTAGTGTATACTGTATGAGATGAAAACCTCTTCTCATGCCCAAACTCCAAACATATGTAAGGTATTTCTTTGATATCAGGCAAACACTTTAATACGAAACCATATCAGGAAGTTCCATATTACACATTAATAAGGCAGAGAAGCAGAGCACGCGTACATAAAAGGGGGAATTCTTGCTCTGACTAATGTGGCGTCTACATGACAGTAGCTACTGACCAACTACAACAATCGCTTTCATTATTCACCAGTTCACTTCTCTGTAATTGACTCATCAATCTCAGATATTCTTAACGAAGAAAATCATTTCTAACATCAAATTTTACCTGAGCATTGCTATATTCTACTAACTGTGTGCATCAAAATATTTAAGTAACAAGTTGTGGATTATGCACTTAGAGGAACGATAAGCACCAAATGAAGCAACAGCCATCCATTATCCATAACAAGATCCGAACAGATAAAATAAATTAATTAAAACATTATAGGAATTTCCCAGAACTAAAAGTATCTCCTATCCACCAAAATATTACATTGAAACAGCGAATCTTATGGAAATGATAAATTTACCTGGAAATTTGTAGAGCTTAACGGAATGGTCAATAGATCCAGAGGCGAGGCAGGTGGAATTAGGGCTAAGAACCAAAGCTGTAACTCCATCACGGTGGTATTTGATAGATTTAGGGTTCACGGAAGGAAACTGAGCGTCGTGAACCCAGATCGAGGTGTCTGAAGAAGACGCGGTCGCGATGCGTTCCCCTTTCTGGTCCCACAAGACGGAGCAGAATGACTCGGCGCCATTTTCGCCATTGCCGGTCTTGTGAGCTTCTCGGAGCTTGATTGTTCGGATCTTCATGGCCCGTTTATGATGAATTCGGATCGAACTGCTTCACCTGGTTTAGGGATTTTCGGTTAATTGGATTTCCTTGGCTTTCTGGGAAAGAGTAAAGGTTAAGGGCTTTTTTTCTTTGGCGGGAAAACTTTTGTCGTTGAAATAAAATTTTGGATTTTCGCGGGAAGATAGACGGGGTTATTGGAAACAGGGCCTTCTCTTTTAGTTAATGTTTCATAAGCCCTTTAATTTTTGCTGGCTTTCCACTTTCATCTTAAACTTTTAATTATATATTTTTATACTCATTCCTCTCTATAATAATAGTCCACATTTTTACGAGTAAGTTTTTGAAACTGAATTATCAGATTTATCATCGTACAACAATTGTCATGGGATCAACAAATACACATATGAAGGAGTCATTTGACATGTAACCTTATCTTTTCCTACCCAAGAAAAAAGACATTTTCATATATTAATATTTAGAGTAAACTGCTCAAATAGTCTATTATATTTGGTAAAAAATTTATTTTAGTCCTTTACATTAATAATTCACTGATTTGGTCCTTATATATGTAATTTACACTAATTTAGTTCTATTTACTTTTTTTGACCCTTTACATTTGGAGATTCTTGGATTGACCATTTCTTGGTTAAATCAACAGGAGTATTTTCGGTAAATTTTAATTTTAAAATTTTTAAAAATACTAAAAAACCAAAAATTATTAAAATAATATTATTCATATTTATTTTAATTTTATAATTGATTATTAAAAAATAAAAATATTTTAAATTCAAAATTCAAAATTATTTTTCCAAAATCTGAGTTATTATTTTTTATCTTGTGGTCCCACACGTAATTTCTTATTTAACCTTAGTTTGTATTTTTTTCTTCTTGAATATAAACCTTAGTTTGTATATTTTTTCTTCTTGAATATACCTTTGTTGATTAAAATAATATTAAATATATTATATTATTTTTTTCTTCTTATTGAATATCGGAATGGGGGTTTGGGAATTAGGTTAGGTGTTTGATTGGAGAGAGAAAAAAAAATTACACACTAAGAATAAAGAAGAAATCGCATGTGGGGCCCACATAATAAAAAATATTAACTCAGGTTTTGGAAAAAACATAATTTTAAATATTGAATTTTAAATTTTTTATTT